CACACACACACACACACACACACACACACACACACACACACACACACTCACAGCCAAGTTTCACTAGGGGGGAGAATACTGAAGATAGATAACTGGAGCTGTTCCTGCCAATACCTTCATCTGACCTGGATTCAATCTAAAAGAAAGAAGTTCTACATGTAAAGTTTTGATGAGCCCTAGATGAGTATAGATGGGGAGTATTTTACTTTTTGCATGTTAACTTGTCTTTGCAGAGTGCATGCGTCAAGTCATCCATGGCTACTTTCGAATGAATAGAAACAGTTGATTTTTTCCCCATTTGACATCAAAATGAGTCCTTTACATGCGAGCCAATCCCGGCAAAGCTACTCACATGTTCAGCATCCATTGGGCTTCACAGGTTAAATCCTTCAAATTACACTGTGTATCTGACCTTGAAAAAATAGCACCACAGCAACTTACGCTACCATTTTAATCAGCTGTAAGGCACGGGGCAACACTCCACATGTAATTATCATGTCGATTGTGTGTGTGGTCCGTGGAGACTGCTAGTTGGCGTGTGTGTGGGTGGAGATAAAGAGGAGAGGTTCTCTCGCAGATGTACTCATGCATGGAAACACTCAACGATTCAGACACAGAGGGACATCAAGGGCACACACCATGCGTGGACTCACATGAAACTCAAATAGTGAGTACACACAGCAGGACACACACACACACACACACACATACACACAGTGAAAGTCTGGAGTTTAGTAGGGCATGCAGGCTGCAAAAATAACATGTTAGCACCATGAAGATTTCATGGATTTCACTGTGTATGGGCTGTGTGGAATATAAATTATACACACATGCACACACACACACACACGCAACTCTATGAATGGTTGATAATCAGAGACACACACACACACACACAGACAGAGGCTAAACAAAACAGACAACAGATCCCAAAAACACAAGCCTACAGCTGCATAGAGGCTTCCGTGAATTATATAGAAGCAGTCAGTTAGATTAAATGTGATTACAGTGTGGGAGGCTCCAGTGGGGAAACAGTTTTCATACTTTGACTCATCTAAATAATTTACACTTCTACCTCCCCACGGTTGTCTGTAAAAGTTTATTTTTCTAAATAAATCAATACAAAGGGCGGATATTGTGTTAATCAGCTAGCCTGTAGCTGCAATTTGTAACTGTGAAATCGTCCCGATGAACTATCAGGATCAGTGGGAGAGTCTTTTACTGACACAATTGGGATTTCATAGCTATTAAACTGTTTTGTTTTTTGCTTCTCAATGAGATTTATGTTTCTGTCGTTCCACTTCTCTCTGTCCAATATCAATTCACCGCGAGGCTTTTATCCTGCTGCTCACAGTCTCATATACAATGGGCTGTTGTTCTGAGAGCTTTTCACCGATCCCCGTTGTTATCCTTTAAGCTTCAACCCTTTACGATGAATTATCGTCCAATAATGTCAGCACATCTTCAGGAGGCTCTCAGTGGTGATGTCTGTTTACCAGGCTGTGGCAACATGGGAAACACATGACTCAGAGTGGCTCAGCACATGCCATTGTATAGCTCAATGGCGCCATCTGGTGCTGTGGGAAGTAGTAGCAGGAACACTGAAAGGTTCTCTGAAATCCTCTAGTATATTCGCCTGATCTCACTATTATGTTAGAAAAACTCTCAAGTTAGAGGCTGATTTCTTTTCTAATGAAGTGAAACTTTAAGGTACTTGGTTTTCCTCTAATTTGGTCTTCTTTACTTTACTCCTCCTTTTGTCTCTCTCAATGTTTTTTTGTCCACACCTTGCCTCGCATCTCTTGCACATACCTTTTGGCAGGAGCCCATTTTCCAAAATCTATCCTAATGTCTTTTTTTATCTGTTATTGGCTTTAACTTCATCCCGCCTTTCAGCCTATTTGATTACCCTCCTGTTGCCCTTGAATCTCATCCCAGCTGTGATTGAGAGCATAATTATTCTTCCATTAAAGGGCGAAAGGTAATCTTATTTAGCTTTCAAAGTGAGATTTAAAAAAACAACAACAAAGAATATCAGAGAGCAGAAGCAGATGTGACTTTGAGACGAATAAGATAACATTACATTATTAAATCTCACTGATCCTGATACAGTGGACATATGAGTCCCATGGAGAGTGGAGACACAGAAAGACTCTGTGACTTATTGAACCTGACATTTAGTTAACAAACGCATGTTTATAGCGACATCCTAAAGGAGGGGCACATATTATAGTGGGTGGCATACACAGATAGATATTGATAATTAGTCTTTTATACCCAATTGGTTGGTGTTTTATGTTCACGTCTGCATGTGTTGTGTTTCTCTTTGACTGCAAGATGAATTTATCGAGTAGGGGCAATAATGTTAAAATTGAGGGTTAAGTTGAAAGTTGATGGAAGAAAGGAAACCTGCCTCCAGTCACAGATCCTGCACCAACAATTTGAGATTGATCTTCTCGTCTGACTCTGGATAAGGCCTCAAAAAATGATGCACAGTTATGGGGATACTTTCCAAAATTGGTTAGCTGACTACGTTAAAAAGAAGAATCATTTTTAGGGACTGGTTGCCATCGGAGGAGTGATATAAATCAGAATGGAGTCGCCTCTTGAATTTTAAGCTCAGTACATTATAGGGAGAATAAAGCAATAAAGTAGTCTGTTATTTAACTTCTGTTCAGGTTTGTATGATTCGGTATAAGATCTGGTGCAACGACACTACCGTATAGATGGAGGAGGTGATTTGGAAAAAAAAGACAAGTACACCTTTGATGAACAAAGATATTGTCTGTTGATAGGAGGAACTGCATTCGAGGAGTGTTGGGTGTAACAGGTGATGGCTTGTGACAGTCTTTTGTATAGAGAGTGAAAAGAAATGGGCTGAGCACACACTTCTGGATAATGACAGCGGCTTTTAAAAAAAAAAATGTGTCATCAACCTCAACTGCTTGAGGTGCGTTAAAGGAAACTGCTGAGAACTTTAAAGTGCTTCAAGGAGCTTCTTAATCATGCGATGCCAATGGATGGCATCGGCAGCAGAGCAGTAATCAATGACAAGTGGTCTGTTATAGAGAGCCTGAGAGAGTCTAAGTGTTGCATTAGTGAATGTAGGAGACACGCCACTGCATCGTCTTTTGGTCTCTTGTGAGTCAACCGGATTATGGTGAAAACAACTTTTAATTAGATGAGAAGTTCTTTCTGCAGAGATGTTCTCTTTATTATTTCACGCCGAGCTCGTTATGTTTATAATATATGCTAATTCGTAAGTTGAACCTTTCTACATATCCTTTGTACCCACTTGGAAGCTATCCAGAACACCCACAGTCATGTATTTTGGGGTTCAGTGAATGGCTGACATGGCAAACATAATTGATTGAATGATCGATCCTTACTTGATGCTGTGTGGCTC